AGAGAAGAAAGGGGGAAGGGGGGCGCCGGGGAGAGCCACAAGGGGAACGTCTGCGGGAGGGAGAGCAGGAAGGACGAGCCGAGCCAGTCGCTGCTCCCGATCGGGCTTCCCTTGCCTCGACTCGAGCGCAAGATTGCGCGGCGGCCCCGCTGTCGAGGCAGCCCTCGGGAGAGGGAGCTTCGGGGGACGCCCGGCGGAAGCAGGCGGTCTTAGCAGGGGCGGCCTCTGAGGTTGCCCGGGCAGGGACAGCGGTGTCATCCTCCCCGCCGCCTCTTCGTCCCGCTCCCCGGTGTTAAATCTGCCAGAGCTGCCGCCGCCGCTTCTCGCCGCATAAGCGCAGGCTTTCCTCGGCGGCCTCGGGTTTCCATTTTGGGTGGTAGCGTTTCCGTAGCCAGCCCTTCCCGGAGAGACCCCAGCAGCGTCGGGCGCGCCGAGAGCGGGAAGTTCGCGGAGGAGCCCGCCCTGCCTCCCCTCCGGCTCCCCTCCCAAACAAACAAGCCAGCCGGAAAGTCTCGAGAAGCTGCCAAGAAGGAGCGTGACCGAGACTCGCCCGGAGGAGAAGAGGAGGCGGAGGAGGAGGAGAAGCAGCGCCTTTGCCCTCCCATCCTCCGTCCTGACCGCCTCCCTCGGCTGAATCCACCTTCCCTCCGTCTTCCCGTCCTCGGCGGCGCCAGGGGCAGCAAAAGCCGGACGCAGGATGGCTTCAACAGCAACCTGCACCAGGTTTACCGACGAATATCAGCTTTTTGAGGAGCTTGGAAAGTAAGTGGCCGAAAGCCCGCGGACGGGCTCGCCTGCTGCCGGCGACCGAAGGGCTTCGGGCGGCGGTGCGGGAGGAGGAAGGTGGACAGAGGAGCCGGACAGCTGGGAGGGAAGGCGCGCTCGCGGGGGCTGCGCCGGGGTCGGCCTCTGCCCCGGGTCGGCCGGTGCTCGCGGGGCGGGCAGCGCGGCTCATCAGCCTCTCGCCGAGCTGCGGGAGGCTGAGCTGGCAGAGTGGCCGGGCGGAGGCGTGCATGGCGACGGCGAGGCCCCGGACAGCCCTCTCCTCTCGCCCCCGTCCTGCTCGGCGTTCAGCTTCAGACCCGGAGCTGCCACGTTTATTGGCGCGTAAAGTTCAGCCCGGTCGGAAGGGCGTGTTTGCGTGTGTCCGTGTGCGATCCTCTCCCCGCTCGCTCCTTCGTTTCGTGCGGAGCGTATCAGCCTCGTCGGAAGCAAGGCTTTGACGCGGGATTTTCCACCCTGTCCGCCGCTCGCAAAGTGGAGGGGACACATGAACCCGGGGGAGCCGCCGGTGACGAAATTGGCCCTTGGGCAGCGTGGGTGGCTGGCATCCGAACGCCCATTCGCACGACAGCCGTCCAAAAGAGACGGGGGCGGCAGGACGCTCGACCCCCGTTTAAGGACCGGGAAATGTAACGAAAACGTGCATTTTGTTCAGGGGAAGAGTGCCATTTAGAGTTAAACCCTCTGCTTTTTATTACTATATTTTCTTACAAAGCAGAAATCTATCAGTTCAGTGCTGTGTTAAGTCTGTTATATAAACGACTTGAAAATGCTTGACCAATGGCTGGCAGAGTATTAGCCTTGTGAGCCTGTCATAAAGAGCAGCCTAATTCCCGTGCTCGCCCTGCAAGGGAATTGCCCACGAATGCTCGTGCTTCCAACTGCAGGTAGTGACATTGATTGGATCCAGGCCGCTCCATCGAGGCTTGCGCTTAAATAAATATAACGGGTGGTATGTCTACCTGAGGAGGAAAATGGATTAAAAAATAACAACAGCGTTCCACTGCAAAAATACGTTCACACATGCCTTTGAATCAAAGCATAGTAAAAACATAGGACGGGTGTGAAAAATGTATATAATTTTTGTGTTAAGGTAGCCTCTTACAGGGATCGGTACATGCATTCAATATATTTGAAGAAGGCATCTTTTGCTCACAGTTTAAATCCACTGCTACAGATCCAAATTAAGGTGTTTATTTTTTTTTTTAAGAAAAACATGTATTTATTTATTTATTTACTGTCTCCTCTCTTGACACTGTTCAGATTATTAGATGGTTAAAGTAGCACAGCCCCAGCTGACATTTATGTTATTCTTGTTTATTGACTTCCAGGGGGGCTTTCTCAGTGGTGAGAAGATGCATGAAAATCACTACAGGACAAGAATATGCTGCTAAAATTATCAACACTAAAAAGCTGTCAGCAAGGGGTGGGTATTCTTAAGCTGTTGTGAAATATATTGCAGTAATGCAGATAGACATGAATTGACTAGATGGGAAAGAAAATGAAGATCTTTGCTTTTTTGCTACCTGGATTTCTGTGTTTTGGAAAGCCACATTTAGCTTGATGTATTCCTATGGCAAAATGTAAGAGTGCCTGCAGGGCTATTTAAATTACCTATTTAGGTTTGTAATTGTGAAATTGGCTCAGCTATTACATTTACATTTTCTGCCTCACTTTTGCCTTCATTGGAGGAAAGGAGGACAAATATTAATTTACTAACACTCTCCTGTTCTGTCTACACACACAAGTCATTCACTGTGACATTAAAAAACAAAACAAAAAATAGGGGAGAAGTGACATGCTTCTCTTATTCAAACATTCTTGGTTTAAAATAAAACTGATCTTTGTTTCTCTCCGTGCTATAAATTAAATATTTTCATCATGGTAGAGTATTTTTCTCCTTTATATTTTTCAGATTTGCAGTCTTTAATGCATAAGGATTATACAGGTTCAGTTTTTACGTGTCTAGAGCACTCTCCAAAATATTATAAGCAACATTTATTTTTCCAAACAATCTCTGCTAAATTGTGTGGAAGTTACACAGAGGAAGCTTTGCAGATCCTCTGGAGCATCAGTATTGTTGGGCAGGAAAGGCTTCCAGTGGATTACATCCTATATACATACATACATACATACACATATCCTTAAGTTTGTATGCTTGTTCGTGGTAAATCCACATTGATGTACTTACATGGGATGTTGAGATTATGGATTATTTTCTGTTAACATCTACACTTTCAGATTAATTTCTAGCTTTTTCATAAGCAAGGAAATAAATGGAGCTGTTTGTTCATTATGCCAACCTATAGTGCATACCTTTTATTGTTAAGGCCACGGGTTGAACACATTTATCATGCATTTATCATTGATAATGAACTGGTTCTGTGAATGTGTTTTTACATGTACATCAAACTTTTAATGTGACTATGATATTTAGAAGATTATTAGTAGTAAACTGACAGTTTCGTCTGAAGCATGTTTGCTTAGAACTGATTACCAAGGAGTTTAATAGGATATACTGCCTAACCCCTACGTATGTTTATTTTGAAGTGTTGTAGATACCCCAGAGATAGCAGCCCTAAATTTAAGGCAATCTTCTCTAAAAAAAAAAAGGAAGACTAAACCTAAATAAATAAATGAATAACTTTCATAGCCGTATACTATTTTAAAGATCAGTTATTTGGGAAGAAGTCCCACATTTTCCTTTCAGTTAAATTACACTTTCTCAATAAGTTGTAACTGTAAGCAAACACTTTTGGCTTTGTAGCTATTATTTCTCATTTTTTGATGGAATCATTTTTTCTTGTTTCATTAATATTACTGTACATCTCTAGCCTTTCGCCATTTGGAGTTTGGAATTATACGCTGCAGTAGCCTGCTTATGTTTTTAAATTTAGCTACTGTTGCAAACTGGAAAAGATTTAATGCATTTTAACTTTTTCCAGCTCAGAAACATTTGACTCTGATTTTTCATTTCATTATAACTGCGTGAATTATGTTAGGATTAGATGGATCAAACTGTTAAATGATATGCAGTTACTAATTAGGTAGTGAAGATTAATTCCATACTTCTAAAAACTGTGTGTCTTTAGTATTTTCAGTATATTGAAACAATATACTGAACAATATAACAATAAATTATATTTTGAAACCAAAATATAATTTAAATAAACCTTTGGGAACTGTGAGAATACGTAAAATAACCAACAATTGCATTGGCTGTAGAGAATAAGTAATATAAATGGTTAAACCTAAAACTTGATTCAGATGTTCCATATTTAATTTAGATGTGAACAAGGTGAGCTTTAGCCATCTGCCATAGCTATTTCCATTGTCTTCCACAAACAGCTTATTCCTACTGCTTTTAGTCTAACCTTTGAGCTGGTTTTTTTTTCTTACATTATAAAAGAAGGGAAGCTTTCTTTAACCAGTAATGTTCTTTAGCCAAATTCTTAGGTGGTTGTTGATTATTGTATGACTTCATGTCATCCATTTTGCGGACATAAATTAAAACCTTTGTAATGATATAGAAGAGAGAAATTTTGTCTTCTACTCTTCTGTATGGATGTCAAACTGTATTAAATCTTGAACATTTTTTCCATAATTAAATTTAAAGGCAATTGGAGAAGAAAATAAGACAGGTGGACTATTTTATTGAGACTCAAAATAATTATTTTGTTGAAAGATTTAACTCTGTGGATTAAAAAAATAGTTTTATTAACAATGAGGAATTAGAAAAATTACATTTCACTAAAGGAAGGGAGGGAGGGATCGAGGGATCAATGGGATGCAGATGAGTTGGGAAAGAGTATGACAAGGAAAGAAAAAAAAATGTATCATAATAAAATATGATGACAACTCAGAGGAAAATTTCTGTTTTTAGTTAGTAGAGTACAACAAGCAATATTTAAGATACAAATATGGATTCAGCTAAGTTACATTGTCCATTAGGGATGCTTAAGAATCAATTGAAGAAGTCTTAAAAGTATATTAACTTCCACCTCAGGCTTTGCAAAATAATGTGTGGAACAAGTAATAAGCATTAGATATAATAAATCTCTGGCCTTTTTTGGCATAGAGAATATTGGTCTACTGTAAATCCATTTCTGAAGAAAAGCCAATGGGAGTTTTATACATCAGTCTGAACTCCTTAAAGAAATGCCAAGGTACAAATTAATAAATAACTTGTTATAAATTATGAATGTGTTCCTCATTTACATTGTTAGGACATTCTTGAGTCTAAAATAGCCATTTCACACAGTACATAAACTTTGCTTGGTTAGCCCAAATGCAGTGAGTTCCAGATTAATGTAGGAATGGCTTGAAGTTTTTAAATGACATTTTTATCTGAGATGCTCTAAGTATTTTTCCCATCTGTGGTTTGAGACGGCTCCTTTATATGTTACTACTGTAAGCATTATGATGAAACTTCAGGTGTGAACAAGCTTTAAAACGCTGTGAATGTTAACAGTGCACAGATTAGTGCCCTTAGGGACATTTAGCTTGAAAAGATTGGCATTGTTTTGGAATACCTATTTTGTGGATCTAAATGTTCCTTGACATCATTTTTAAGATTGTTTTCTACAATATACTTTTTATTTGTGGACTTTCAGTTTTGAGCACATTTATCTTGCTAACAGTTTTCTGTGATCCTGAAATGTTTTCTCTTTCACATGCAAAGGTATTTTAATGAAGGAAAGAAAATAAAACCTGTTACCTATTTCTTGGCATGCTAAGGGCATCCTGTTTGTGATACTAACTGTCTAAGAGGCTACTTTAGAAATAAAATGGATAAATCAGTATTGTGGATCTGTTTATGCTTCTGTAGTCTAACTTGGGAACTTCAGACATTGTTGAGTGATTTGGGGCATTTATAATTGGGTGTGATGCTCAGATACTTCTAGTTTGTAACCTTTTTGCTCCAGTGCATCCAATTTGAAGATCAATCCCTTTTTCAATGCTTTATTTTCTTTGTGCCATTTTATAAAACAACAGTCCAATTTTTGTATCTTTCAACAGAGATACCAGTGCTGTTTAATTTGTAATTTGGAAGGAAGAAAAAATGAGGAAACATAGGGATGATGTAGCACCTTAAAGCAGGTTATTTCTAGGGGCTTAATGCATTAAATATTATTTATAAATCAGAGACACAATATTGTTGAGCAGAAAAGGCAAATAGAACAAAACTTTTTGTCCTCCAATTCCATGAATATCATATGCAACCGTTTTCTTCTCTTTCTCATCTTTTTGCTCCACTCTGCTATTGTCTGATTCCTTGCAGTATCACCCTCTCCTTATTTTTCTTCCTTTGTTTTTCCTTTGGGAAATTTCTTATTCCCCTCCAGTAGAAGAATAGGAAGAAGGAAAACAATGTTCCATTTCAGTTTTTTCTGTTTATGTAGAAATGGTTTTCTCTGTTGTTTCAGAAACAAGGGGTGTCTACACCAACTCAGCTTTTGTCTCCCTGGTTTGATTGGTGTAGATCATTAGAGGCAAGGAAGAAGCCATCACAGGATGTGCTTCCTCTAAGAGAAAACTGAACACCTGTTCACCTTTGAAGAAGTCCCACTATGCTTATGTGTGTGTGCGTGTGTGTGTGCGTGTGCACGCACATGAATCAAGAGAGAGAGAGAATGAGTCCTGCTAGATTATGTTCATCTAGTCCACTTTCTGATTTTCACACTGAATAGCTAGATACAAATGGAAGGCTACGATGAACTGTAAGCTGTAGCATTTAACATCTTAGTATACAGTGACATACGGCCTTTCAGTAAAGAGGTTACAAATAGTTATTATGGTTAATAAAGTCAACAAGGAGTCGGGAGCAGTTGCCGGTAAGCGTGAAAAACAGCATGCGCCAAAAGGCGCAAAGCAACGGAAACCCCGCCTCCTGCGCTCTCCAGCTGGGCTCTGCCCTAGGAAGGAGGCACTGGCA